CAGATGTTTGGTAAATAGATGTTTGCCGTACCATGCAGATAAGCCTTTCTGATGTAAAAAGTTACCTTTGGTAATACCTCTCTTTCTGGTAGAGGCCCCCTATCTAAATTCTTTTAGGTAGGTTTAGGGAGATGTAAAAAGGTTTTCCTGAGTCTGCTTGTTCTTAATTGCCTTTAGCTCAAAATCCACATGTCAAAGTGTCATATTTGGGGGTGACATTGTACCCCTCCCCATTCCTAACTCTTATTTAGACTCTTAAGTAGGTTTTGCATCATTTGCTCATGTGTCTCTTGGATTTGTTGCTTTAAGCAATTGTCCTCCAACTCTGGGATTTCTTTCCCCTGCCTATTCTGACTACTGGCCCTACCAATTATTGGCTCACATGGCTGTCCTAAGGGAAGGGAGCTTGGGACTGGAAAGGTGGACGTAAGAGGCAGTATGATCTAAGAAAAACATAACTATCTTCTCTACTTGAAGTTGCTAACATCTACTAGCTGTATATGTGCCAGATTCAACCTGTAATTTTTCCCTTATATCTCTTTCTGGAGGCTGTTGCTGGCACTTCTGATGTCTGATTGATGTGGTATTCCTTAATCAGGTTACCAAAAGTTGGGTGTGGATTTTATTTTTGCAGAAAGCAGAACAGAGGAATCATATATATTTTATATGACCTAAAGGACAACACAGGAAGGATGGAAGCATTGGTGTTTGGAAAAGAGAACAAAATCCAGTGTAAAGAAGGGAATAAACTTCAACTTACATTCTTCAAGCTGTCAAAAGCTGGAGAAAAACTACAGCTAAAATCTGGAGTTCATAGTTTCATTAAGGTGAGAACTTCACGGAGGAAAGTCAACTCTCCAAAAGGATAATGTTTTGTGTTTGCTTTCAGCAAACTGGACAGGTGCTATTAAAGAGGATATGGTGTAGAAGACCCTGATATTTAGTACACTTACAGCTCACCGAACTTAGGAGTTTCCTTTTAGGAAATACACATCCTAGACACACAGTTAAGAGGACATGGACTTCATAAGGCAGAGACACATGCTGTGGTACCCACACACCCCTACAGACTGTTGAACACTTAGTGTTCAACACTAAGTCTAATGCAGGTGGTTTTCCCAAAGTTGGACAAATTATTCTGAAAGAGTTATATAAAAGTAGACACAGACCAGGTATAACTTGAGGACACATTTCTCAAAGTCAATTCCTTGCACCTACCATAGTCCAGGGAAATTGAGTCAGGATAAACCCCTACTGCTGACTTTTCATCTCTCCCTCATACCAGTACATCTTGCTGCCACTACTTGGTCCTCTTCCCCATTTATTAGCTTTGTTTGCACTGGCTGCTGTCTCCCTTTTTAAGAGTGGGGTGGAGACTTGAGACACTGGCATATGTGCCCTTGTTAAGTAGGAGTGTATATCTCGACTCAGATTTAACTTCAGAAGAGTGATTCAAGAGTGAACAATGTACTGGGAGGAAGGAAAGAAGATAATTTTATGAGAAGAAAAGAAAGATGCACTTTAGGAGGACAGTGGAAGCATTGAAGGGGTAATTGATCAACTTCATCTCAGACTATGTATATATTTTCTCCATCCAGGTTATTAAGGTCAAAAATTGAAATGGGGCTTCCCTGGTGGCGCAGTGGTTGAGAGTCCACCTGCCGATGCAGGGGACACGGGTTTGTGCACCGGTCCGGGAAGATCCCACATGCCGCGGAGCGGCTGCCCCGTGAGCCATAGACAGTGACCCTGTACGTCCGGAGCCTGGGCTCCACAATGGGAGGGACCACAACAGTGAGAGGCCCGTGTACCGCAAAAAAAAAAAAAAAATTGAAATGAAATGGATCAATTCAGATCAACTGGTCTAAACAGCATTTAATTGAAGAATACCTAATACAGACAGCCTCTTCAATCAGACTGTGAGTTACCGGAGAGCAGCAGTACACAGCTTCCTTCCCAAACCCAGGTTAGTCAGAATGGGATAATTCCTGGATAAACAATTCCAAAATCTCAACATCTTATCACAATAGAAATGTATTTCTCATTCATTGCAGCCCACAGCCAGGACAGGGCTCTGCTCTATGTAAATATTCAGGGATATTATGTTGTTCAATATCTGTTGAATGAATAAAATGATTAATGGAAAATATGCACTATACGTAGTTATACAAGTTAATACAGATGAGTAAAAATAACCAAATTCACAAGAAATCAAATATCAAAGATTTATAGCATGAAAAGATTGTCAACCTCACTGATAATCTGAAAAATGAAGTTAATATAAAATTTACTTTTTTCTTATGTTTAAGTGTACTAGAAGACCACTAAGGTTCCAAAAGAGGGCTTGGCAAAACTTTTCTGTAAAGCACCAAATAGTATATATTTTAAACTATGTGGGCCCTAGAGTCTCTGTTACGGATGCTTAACCTTGCAGCGGCTACAAAAGGAGCTATAGACAATCCATAGATGAATGAGCATGTTTGTGTTCCAATAAAACTGTATGGTGGACACTGAAATTTGAATTTGATATAATTTTCATGTGCCACATTCTTCTTTTGATTTTTTCCCCAAGCATTAAAAAAATATACATAAGAAGATTTTTCGATAATTTAAACTTCACCAAAATGAACATGTCTTTTCAAAAGTTACCCCTTTAAATCATGAAAAGGCAAAAAGCCATAGATTGAGACATAGTATTTGCTAGTCACATAGCCACTACAGACCCTGTACCCAGAATTTATAAAGGATTCTCAAAACTCAGTATTATGCAAACAGCTGAATTTTTAAGATGGGCAAAAAAAAAAAATACATAGGTGGCAAATAAGGACATAAAAAGATGCTCAACCTTATTTATCTTTAGGGAAATGCAAATTAAAACTACAGTGAGATACCACTATGCACCAATTAGAATGACTAAAATTTAAAAAGATTGACCATACCAGGGGCTGATGAAGATGAGGAGGAAGTAGAACTGTCATGCAATGGTGGCAAGAATGTTAAGTGGTACAGTACTTGGCAAAAAAGTTGGATAGTTTTTTTTTTTTTTTTTAAATTAACATGCACTTACAATGCTAAACTCTGAGGTGGATGCAGAGCAACTGATATTCTCACACATTGCTCAGGGGAATGAAAAATGCTACAGCCACCTTAGAAAACAGTTTGGCAATTTCTTTTTTTTTTTTGCGGTACGCGGGCCTCTCACTGTTGTGGCCTCTCCCGTTGTGGAGCACAGGCTCCGGACGCACAGGCTCAGCGGCCATAGCTCACGGGCCCAGCCGCTCCGAGGCATGTGGGATCTTCCTGGACCGGGGCACGAACCCGTGTCCTCTGCATCAGCAGGCAGACTCTCAACCACTGTGCCACCAGGGAAGCCCAACAATTTCTTATATATTTCAAATACATTTATCATATGAACCAACAGCCTCACCCCGAGATTTTTATTCATTGAAATGATAACACAGGTTCACACAAAAATCTGCGTGGGAATATTTGCAGCAGTTTTATTTGTAAATATGTCAAAGTGTCAACAATCCAATTGTTCCTCACTTGGGGAATGGATAAACAAACTTTGGTGGGTCCACACATTGAATTCTACACAGCAATAAACAGGAATAAACTGATACACACAACTACGTGGATGAATCCTAAACGTACTATACTAAGTGAAAGAAGTCAGACTCAAAATGCTATATACATTTTAACTTCCATGTTAGGAAACTCTGGAAAAGGGAGAAGTTTAAGTTAAGAAACTATATCAGTGGTTGCCAGGAGCTTGGGTTGGAGGAAGCCTTGACAATAAAGTGGCATGAGGGAAATTCTTGTTATGATGGAACTGTTCTAATCATTAGGAACATGATCTTACTTTCTGTCCTTTATTTTTCTTACTAGGAGAGTGAAAAGAAGAACACTATCAACCCTCTAGAGCTAATATAAGATTAAGTGACACAAAATAATTGCAAAACACCAGGTACCAAATATGTAATCAAGAAATACACTGTAAAGAAACTATATTCAATATCCTGTAATAAACCATTATGGAAAAGAATACAAAAAAGAATACATTCATATGTATAGCTGAATCAGTTTTCTGTACAGCAGAAATTAACACACACTATAAATCAACCCTACTTCAATAAAATACATGTAAAAAACTATATTGTAAATTTCAGTGTTAGCTATCTACTTTCTGCCATTGTACTCTAAACTAAATTAATTATTCGTCAGTGTTTGCCTAATGCAAGTCTTTGCCTGGAGCAACTTCCTCATAGGATCCACACATGTGAGAACCAGGAAGTATAGCTGCAGAGCTACCTACCTGTTAGTATCTGAATAAGTAAGTGGAACCAGTTATTTCACATCAGACAGGGCTAGAATTATTTCCAACATATACTAAAGACTTCATGCAAATCATCAGAAGCTGCCTTATTTGGGCACAAATTACGCAATTATGGCCCCTCCAGGAGATCAATTCTGAAATATATCATTGTTTTGGACTAAAGCAACTCCACCCTAGGATAGGGTTTGGCAATTGAAGCACAGACTGGATTTCAGCTGCTCTGCCTTCCTCTTGGGTTTCTTTGAGCAGGGCACAGCTTGTTCAACCTGTTCATTCTTGACCAGAGTTATATTCTGTAAAGATCACAACTAAAGTATAAATCCAAATATTGCTTGGGTCTTAAATGTCCCTATCTGATTTGCAGCCCACAGACTATTTGCTTTTAAGCAATGAACTAGACTCCTAGGGAGGCATGTCTTTAGGAAAAATCATGTTTATTATTATTTCCAAATTATAAAAGTTATAGATGCAAAATTAGACATTGAGATGGTACAGAAAAGTATAAAAAAATGAAAAGCACCCTATTCCTAAGAATTAATGGCTAGTATATATATTGTGGTATTTCAACCATATGTATACATATATTCGTTTTTTCTGTACTTAGATCTTAGCTCCATAAACATCAATATTAATGACATCCAGGTTTTTAGAAGAAGAGCTGTAATCAGGTTTCCATATATGATTCAGGACTGAATGGTTATTCCTTGCTTTTCCTGGCCTTGGTGACCTTGAAGAAGAAAGAGAGAAGATAAACAATGAGATGACCCTGATTATACATTTCCCCCTTCACTCACACTGTGTCACCTTGCTATGGGCTGCATCCCTTTTTCTCTTCCCGTCTGAGGGGCTCTTCTCCCACTCTCACCTATCTTCTTTAGTGAATTCCTGTCTTTTGAGTCACCACCCCCAATTCTTGGCTGGGGCCCTGAAATGAGATTTGCACTCACACCCAGCGTGAGCACATGTGGACAGGCAGGAGTTGTTGGAGAACAAGAGAGAGGAAGGAGCAGGTGTACTCAATGCCAAGAGTTGAAGGGAAAGTTCTTACTGGAAAGAAAGATGGAAGGAAGGGGCAAAAGTTATTCCTGGCACCATGCTGTGAAGGAAGGATTGGGATATATCATTGAGAGTCTGAGTAATGGCAAGATCAAAGAGCATGTGCATGTTGGTGGGAATGTAAATTGATACACTATGGAGAACAGTATGGAGGTTCCTTAAAAAACTAAAACTAGAACTACCATACGACCCAGCAATCCCACTACTGGGCATATACCCTGAGAAAACCATAATTCAAAAACAGTCATGTACCACAATGCTCATTGCAGCTCTGTTTACAATAGCCAGGACATGGAAGCAACCTAAGTGTCCATTGACAGATGAATGGATAAAGAAGATGTGACACATATATACAATGGAATATTACTCAGCCATAAAAAGAAATGAAACTGAGTCATTTGTAGTGAGGTGGATGGACCTAGAGACTGTCATACAGAGTGAAGTAAGTCAGAAAGAGAAAAACAAATACCGTATGCTAACACATATATATGGAATCTTAAAAAGAAAAAGTAAAATGGTTCTGAAGAACCTAGGGACAGGACAGGAATAAAGACGCAGACATAGAGAATGGACTTGAGGACACGGGGAGGGGGAAGGGTAAGCTGGGAAGAAGTGAGAGAATGGCATGGACTTATATATACTACCAAATGTAAAATAGATAGCTAGTGGGAAGCAGCCGCATAGCACAGGGAGATCAGCTCGGTGCTTTGTGACCACCTAGAGGGGTGGGATAGGGAGGGTGGGAGGGAGGGAGACACAAGAGGGAGGGGATATGGGGATATATGTATATGTATAGCTGATTCACTTTGTTATAAAGCAGAAACTAACACACCGTTGTAAAGCAATTATACTCCAATAAAGATGTTAAAAAATAAAAAGGTGGGGGGCTTCCCTGGTGGCGCAGCGGTTGAGAGTCCGCCTGCCGATGCAGGGGACGCGGGTTCGCGCCCTGGTCCGGGAGGATCCCACATGCCGCAGAGCGGCTGGGCCCGTGAGCCATGGCTGCTGGGCCTGGGTGTCCGGAGCCTGTGCTCCGCGGCGGGAGAGGCCACGGCAGTGAGAGGCCCGCGTACCGCAAAAAAAAAAAAAGAGGGATCGTCAGAGTAGCTACTTCATAGGGTTATTCTGAAAATTAAATGAGAAGATCTATGTAAGATATTTAGCACATGTCCAAAATTATCAATATCATCCACTCAAGCAAGCTCTGTTCCACATTGACTATCTTAAGTAATAAGCAAATTCGACATTAGCTGATTCCACATGTTTTGTGCAATGATTGGGTCCTATGGGATTAACTGCAATTAACTACTCCAAGTTTGATGTCCTTTATTCCTACATAGTCATCTATACACAGACTAGAAATCCAGAGAGCACTAAAAGCACCATCATGATGAATGGCAGGGAGCAAAATTATAGTTTGAGAGTTTTTTACAACCTCAGTCACAAAAGAGATTTTGGGGAGAACACTTAATTGTAAAGACATTTTTTATATCTACTATTTCACTTAAATGTCAGATTAGAGAATAGGCTTTAATTAAAGTTTGTAATTAAAAAAAAAAAAGAGCATGTGCATTTCTGAGTGCCTGATATGTCAGCTTTTGTATTTGATCTGCTTGCATTCCAGTGCAGGCATACCTTGAAGATATTATGGGTTCAGTTCCAGACCACTGTGAAAAAGTGAACATTGCAATAAAATGACACACAATTTTTTTGCTTTCTTAGCGCATAGAAAACTTATGTTTACACCATACTGTAGTCTATTAATGCAGTAGCATTAATTAATGTATTAATCAATGTATTAATGTACATACCTGAATCAAAAATACTTTATTGCTAAAAAGACATTAACCATCATCTGAATCTTCAGTGAGTCATAATCTTTTTTTTATGGAGGAGGATCCTGCCTGGATGTGGATGGCTGCCAACTGATGAAGGTGATGGTTGCTGAAGGTTGGGGTGGTGGTGGCAATTTCTTAAATAAGACAATGACGAAGTCTGCTGGATTGATTGACTCTTCCTTTTCATGGAAAATCTCTCTATAGCATGCATTGCTGTTTGATAGTGAAGGGGAACAAAGTTTGCCACGTTTACCACCCCAAAATATGTCTTTCTGGCATGAGGATTAATTTATGTTGATTATTTTTAAGAAACAGAAGAGTCTGTAAGTCTTTCTTTTCACCTCCCCTTTAGCTGTGTAAAGAATTTAGATAAAGGGGCTGTTCCCAGAATAAAGGCCTAATCAGAGGTATTTGCAAAGAATATGGGCTAGGTGTAGTGGAGGAAAACTTGGCAGGGCCCAGAGATCAGAGTCCAGTCTGTGTCCCATCCTCTCTGCATGCCCAGAAAACATTTGTTTACCAAAACATTTGTTTTTCCATCTTCATGTGAATTGTCTTTCTCCCCAGTGGAAGTCCCAAACAACTACCCCCAACATCTTCTTTTGTCATTAAGTGAAGATGGTATTTAAGGTGAGGGTTTCAGTCATCTTGGTGAGTTACTCACTTTTTCTGGGTCTCTCACATGTATGCATGCTATTAAATTTTTGTTTGCTTTACTTCTGTTAATCTGTCTCATGTCAATTTAATTCTTAGACCAGCTGAAGAATCCAGGAGGGTAGAAGAAATTTTTTTCCTCACCGAGAATAGCATTTTACACACAGTAGAACTTCTTTCAAAATTGGAAACCAAACTTCTCAAACCCTGCCAAAGCTATATCAACTAAGTTTGTGTAATATTCTAAGTCCTTTGTTGTCATTTCAACAGTATTCACAGCATCATCATCAGGAGTAGATTCCATCTTAAGAAGCCATTTTGTTTTACTCACCCATAAGAAGCAACACATTATACGTTGAAGTTTCATCATGAGATTGCAGCAATTCTGTAACATCTTCAGGCTCCATTTCTAATTCTAGTTCATTTGCTATATCTACCACATCTACAGTTACTTCCTCCACTGAAGTCATGAACCTTTCAAAATCATCCATGAGGGTTGGAATCAAACTTCCTTCAAATTTCCTTCAAACTCTCATTCATGTTGGTATGTTGACCTCTTCCCATGAAATAGGAATGTTCTTAATGACATCTAAAATGGTGAATCCTTTCCAGAAGATTTTTATTTGACTTTGCCCTGATCCATCAGAAGAATCATATCTACTGCAGCTATATAGCCTTGTGAAATGTATTTCTTAAATAATAATCCCTGGGCTGAAGAATGGATGTTGTGTTAGCATGATAACAATATTAATCTCGTTGTACGTCTCCATCAGTGCTCTTAGGTGATCAGGTGCATTGTCAATGAGCAGTAATATTTTAAAAGGAATCTTTTTTTTTTTCTGAGCAGTAGGTCTCAACAGTGGGCTTAAAATATTCAGTAAACCATGTTGTAAACAGATGCACTGTGATCCAGGCTTTATTGTGCCATTTACAAGAGCAGAGGCAGAGCAGATTTAACAATCTTAAGGGCCCTCAGAATTTCAGAGTGGTCAGTGAGCACTGATTTCAACTTAGTCACCAGCTGCATTAGCCCATAACAGGAGAGTCAGTCCATCCTTCAAAGCTTTAAAGCCATGCACTGACTTCTCCTCTCTAGCTATGGAAGTCCTAGATGTCATCTTCTTCCAATATAAGGCTGTTTCATCTTCATTGAAAATCTGTTGTTGAGTGTAGCAACCTTTATCAGTCATCTCTGCTAGATCTTCTGTATAACTTAGCTGCAGCTTCTACATCAGCAGCACTCGCTGCTTCACCTTGTACTTTTATGTTATAGAGATGGCTTCTTAAACCTCATGAACCAACTTCTGCTATCTTCAAACTTTTCTTCTGCAGATTTCTCACATCTCTCAGCCTTCATAGAATTGAAAAGTGTTAGAACCTTACTCTGGGACTATTGTAGCTGGTTTGACCTTCTATCCAGACCACTAAAACTTTTTCCATATCAAAAATAAGGCTGTTTTGCTTTGTTATTCTTAGGTTCACTGGCATAACATTTTAAATTTCCTTTAAAAAGTTTTTCTGTACATTCACAACTTGTCTATTTAATGCAAGATGTCTAGCTTTTGACCTCTTTTTTGCCTTCCTCACTAAGCTTAAATATGTCTAGTTTTTGATTTAACCTGAGAGATATGTGACTCTTCCTTTCACTTGAACACTTAGAGGCCTCGTAGGGTTTTAATTAGTCTAATTTCAATATTGTTATGTCTCAGGGAATAGGGAAAACTGAGGAAAAGGAAAGAGATGGGGGAATGGCCCATCAGTGGAGCAGTGAGGACACACATAACATTTATGAAAGAAATTTGCCATTTTATATGGGTGTGTGGTTCATGGCACTCCAAATGATTTCAATAGTAACATCACTGATCACAGATCACCATGACAAATATAAGAATAATGAAAAAGGCTGAAATATTATGAGACTTGCCAAACATAACACAGAGACTCAAAGTGACAAATGTTTTGGAAAAATGGCACCAGGAGACTTGCTCTACACAGGGTTGCTACAAACCCTCAATTTCTCAATTTGTTAAAAAAAAAAAAAGCAATATCTGGAAAGCACAAGAAAATGAAGTGCAATAAAACAAGGTATGGCTGTGTTAACTTTTGTTAGTGTTCCAGGAATCCAACCCACATAAATGTGTATATATGAGTTGACAAAGACCATGGAATTTTCCCTGTA